GCTTGTCCGAATCTGTTGATAGGTCACTCTTTTGTCAGTCTCTATCATACGCCGCACAACACAGATGTTATCTTCAGTCGTCGCCGTAGAAGGCCGTCCCTCACGTAAATCATCAGTGAGATTAGTGCGACCACGTTTAAACTCATTAAACCAGTTGTAAACAGTCGCACGAGATGGGGCTTCATCGTGAAAGGCCAATCGTAGTCTATCATAACTTTCTTGTTGACTTAAATGACATCGAAAGTCATAAAAAATCATTGCACGAAAATTTTCTCGTGTTAAATTCATGATGACGTGACACAGACAATTTTCAATTTGCCGCCAAATCGTAAAACAAATGACAAATGAATGAAATATATACTCAGTAATATTGGCAAAGAGTTATATTTTCAAATTTTAGAATTATTTTTTTATTATATTGTTTATAAGTGGCCAGTTCTAAGAACTTTCAGTTTGACCCTCGTATAATATCTGAACAACTCTATTTGTGTCATACAAATTTATTATTACAACTTTTTTATGCAAAATCTTGTTTCATTAAATGATGTAATTCTAGTAGTGGATATGTATAACAAAGCTTAGTTTATACTCACATTAGTAATGGAACATCTATTTATAGTTGCGTATACAAAAAACATAAAACACTAATTACACAATTTTGTTAAGATTGGCCATACGAATCATGTTTTTTTAGACATCGACATATAAAATTTTTCAAATCATATCATAAATTTCACTATAATGGTTATAGATTAATTGGTAATTAATAGATTAATTGGTAATTAATAGATTAATTGGTAATTAATAGATTAATTGGTAATTAATAGATTAATTGGTAATTAATCTATTACATTTCTTTCATTTTCATTTCTTGATAACTTGATAATTGATAATAAATTTTAACCAAATGAACAACCTAAAGACAATCATCATGATCTCTGGTGTCACACAGAATATTTCGCCTCGTATTTGCTAATTAGGCATACGGTACATTAAAAGCCATCATCTTTTATTTTCGTATAGACTTATACTGTTGAACTGGGAATAAAAAGCTTTAATTAAGTACTTTAAAGAATGAAACGTTATTTTGTGAAAGTCCATTGCTATAATTGTGAAACTATGATATCTAGAAACTTCCATACTCAGTCAGTATCAGCAAGAGCGATCGCACACAAATTCGCGCGCACAAACGGGAACACATCTTGCAAAAATTATACCACTGCACATGTTTTGCAACTCCACGGAGCGTCCTCAGGAGTTAGGGTGTTATAGTTGCTAGAAATTTTTAGTTTCATGGTTAGTTTTATTTAATAAATGTATTTATTGTATATTATTAGCTAATTCGATTAATGATGACTATTCGAACCATAACATGTTTTTACACACAAAATAATATCTGTTATAGCATTTTTGGTTAGCACAGAAATAATTATGAGCCCTGACCCATTAAACTAGGATTAAATCTTCTTTTTTTTGAACTGAGTCCTTCATTTTCACATAATAATAAAATATTTACGATGTATGTGTGTGTTTAGGATGACCTCCGTAGCTTAGTAGTTCGCACGCAAGTTTCAAGGCGACACCATCTCCGAGAATCCGGGTTTGATCCCCTGTCGGGCTATTGGAGAAAATGGACCTTTCTTAACTCTCGGGTCTAGCTGTTGTTGGTACATTAATTGTCTCAGATACTTCATAATGCGGGGGCTTCAGGTAATCTTCTTGGAATGAATGTGTGTAGTGTTGTATATTTATTATTATTATTTATTTTGCGGAAGTTATACTATTTTCGATTTTCATATGAGATCTAGGATTAAAAAGTTAGCATCTTTTCTTCGTGCTTTGGAAGGCACGTTCAGTTATTGGTCTCAGCCAGTGCCGGATTAGCCACATAGCAAAAGTAGCAAATGTTGCGAGTCCCGCGCGTTTGGGAGCCTCGCGCAGTTAGAAGCCGCGCTATGGTCTGAACAATAAAATATTTTTTCCGTCGGTGTTAAAAAACGCAAGAAATAACATAAGCCACGATTCTAGCTAAAATCACATTTTTTAAATTAGTTGTGTTATTTGGAAAGAAAAGTACGCCTTTTCTCCGGCATATCCGGCAATGATCTCAGCTGGTAATGCAGTCACTAGTACCTACCAATCAGTGGACAACGCGGCCGACTATGGTACGTTCTGTGCACTTGTAAACCCGTATCCATAAGGAAAGTCGAATGGCAAGCAGCAAAACATTAACACCTGGTAATATGCCGATAATGATGATGATTTGAATTGATATTCTTAAACTTGGAATATCATAAAATACCGAAACGAAACCGAAAACTCCTGCCTGAATGTAAATTGCTGATCAACGAAATATAACATAATATTTCGATCGCAGTCACAGATTCATAAGGAACTGCATAGTCTATTAACTCGGAGTAACACAACGAGTTTATAAGCGTTTCTATTTATAGATCGCTGGAAATAGTTTCTTTTCTATAACTGTATGCTTATTTTTAGAACAGGTCCTAAACACCTGACAGCGGACGGCGTGACCTGCTTATTGTATTTAGTTCAGTTGACAATTGAGAGCGTCGAACTCGACCCGTCCTTCGTTTTCGCTTCCAGCAACATAAGCGACATCTGATCAGCGGAGCCATAGGCCAACATTGTTAATAATTACACAGAACCTAATCTTTGTGATTGGATTATTATGTGTTAGATTTTTTAATTTTGCTATCTGACTCGATTTGACTGATTTCATGTAATGTGGGAAAAGAGGTCTTACCTTATTAGTATAATGTGAAAGTATGAAGGCTTAATCCACTCGTTAATTAATTTGACCTTGACTTCCTGTATGGCTTGAATGGAATAAGGCCTTAGGGTCAGTGTAAACCTAACGAAAGATCCGTCAAGCATCATAAAAATATGATTCAGATCACAACGGAGCATCCGCTGAGATTGCATGGTGCAAAATGTCGTTTATTGTATCAGCTCTGACATCTTCCATCAGATATGTTATCACGCGGAGGCGGGTGACCTCTACACGCTCATCATATTGATCAATAAAACAATAACCGATCAATGAAAACGAAGAACGGAAATCGATGTCATCGACCAGTGTAAATAAGTACAACCCAAATGATGCTGATAATAAGTTATTTCTTTAGAGTTAAAATAATCCTGTGCTGGGAAATATATGGGAAACATTATGCCTTATACTATACATATCTTAAAAAAGTAGGAAGGTGATTTTTTCAAATAAATTTTAAAGTTGTGTAAATAAACATAATTGTAATATCTGCATCTTATTCAATATAATCGGTCGAAGCTCTCATTGCACTCATTTATCATCACTGTAGGTAGATATAAGTTTCACGATTATATCAAAAAATACATTCATAATGCGATAGTAGCCTTAATAGAACGTAGTCTGAAAAGAGAGGAAGTACAGGTGAGTGAGTACTATGTACGTTGCCATATAAAAGTTAATAAACTAATTAAGATAAGATTATTACTACCCAGGGGGTTATATACATGTTAATAAACTAATTAAGATAAAATAATAATTGCAAGTTTTCAGTTTTATTTTCTGAGTTACAGATTTTATTTTCGTATTACAGTATGTTGTGAGTGTATATTTTCTTCCATTGGTGAATGTATTATGAAGCAGTAACGGTCTTATGTCCTCCCGTGAAAAATCCATTACGAAGAATTTGTAAATTGTATTAAGTATTAAAATGACTAAATACTGACGTGATCATACAAGCTTGCTCTTTATGTAGATGTCACAAAAGAGTTCCTAGAAATTTCTGTAATGAAATAAAAAAATAAATAAAATAAAAGCACTCACGGGATAACGTATGTTCCATGTTTTGTCTAGTTATTTTTTACTCTTTGATCAATTAATAAATAAAACATATGACGACTACATGGAAACAACTGAGGTTGATTACCAGAGGTCGGAATTAGGTAGAGTTATTTATGTACTTGCATCGAAATGTTGATATTAATGTGGACCTTCCCGGAATTTCTAATGGACAATTCCGTGTGGCCAACAATCTTATAATAATAATAACAAAGTCAGAGATAGACAAATAAAACAAAGATAATTAACATAAAAATTTTATTAGTTTACATTAATTTACAATACAAATTTTGCAACTTTGGATATCCGATGTCATTGATGTAAGTTTGGCAACGTCGTGCGTGCAGTAGTTTAAATTGTGTAAAAGTAAATAACTTTTTATTTAATAAATCACGGGATTTTTTCTGCTCTTTAAAATTAATCTCGGGATTTGAGGCATATCCACTTTATTCTTTCGCTGCATGAAATCAGTGTAAGTACATGAATAACTCTACCTAATTGCGACCACTGTTGATTACCCTACATTTGGTTAACTTTTAAGTTCTAATTGAAGATCTCATAGAAATACTCGACGCTGTAGATTGACATTTCATTAGAATTGATTGACGCGCTAAGATCCTAGTATAACGTAAACATATGATTATTAGGTATTGTTTTTTTTATTGAATTCCTAACTGGTATATTTATGTTAACTATTACCTAATCCCTACTTAAAAGGCGAAAGCAAAAGCTACGACTAGATTGATGTCTGTATCGGAAGCGGATATCAGTAGAGTCAACAAAAGATTTTTACACGTCAAGAAGTTCGTCATTCTTGTAAGTGGATTTTGTTATACTTTTTATCAGTAAAAATTAATTTACCACTATATTTTAATCAATCTCGAGGTACGATGCAAAATTGATTTTTCTCATGCATCCCTCGAAACTTACTGCATAAAAGTTTACCATAGTGCATGTTCCTTAGGTAACACGGATGCTACTCGCGCGCAATCACTTCCATTTATCAATATCAACAAACGCACCGACAACCAGTCCCCGTCTGCTCGCTCGGACTCCACACCGTTAATACATTCAGCAACGGGCGCATGTACATATTGTTTATCTAAATGATTTATTAATCCATCGTCACCGCAGATCTTTTTTTTTACCGGCAATGACAGCGGACAAGCCTACGGACTTCGATGATGTGTTGAAGAATTTTAACGTGTTTGGACGTTATCATTTAGTGTTTCTATTCTTTACATTTTTTGCGTTCGCCGCCAACAGCGTTTTTTGCAACAACTATGTGTTTGCCGCTCAGGAAATTGGATACAGGTTTGTCAATACGCTTTCAATCTCTTTATATAAATGGAAATATTTTTGTAGTAGCTTTATTTTGAAGTATCTATATCATGTTTTGGCTATATTATGTATGGAGTAATCAAGTGATTGTAGACTGGCTAATAAGAGTTAGCCAATTGTTCCATAGTTGACAATTGTTATATTAATTACGTGTTTATACAAGTGGATATTAAAATATCATCACACGTAAATTTGCTAAAGAGTTTTCTTGTAGTGTTGACTTCAAAGTAAAATTAGATAAAAACACAAAATGTTTTTTTATACAGTGATCACTGAAGAAATAACTGATGTTAAATTTTTTCATTCTGAATTTTTACACTTTCTTTTTGTGAAATGTGACATTATATTATCAAGATATTACAGACACTAGGTATAAGTAATTAAGGTATGTCTTTTTGCGCAACGGTTACTTCTTGCAGTAAGAAATTTGATGTTAATAATAAACATAAACAAAGTTTAAGGAAATTAAAATAAACGATTTCATTAAACCTGTAGTAGATGACAATATTTTTTCACTAATTTTGATATGTAAACAAAACTGTTTTAAAAATTGGTGACTGTACATTAGTTTCCCTAATGTAGTGTTTCAAAGGATGTGTTTTCCGAGGTCCATACAGTAATCGGCTGGGTGGAGCTACGTAGGAGAATACAACTAACTTTGTAAAAATCACATTTTCATTATATTTCATACGATCTGGGGCTCTATTTTTGAATCATTCGTCTCGCGTCGAGCGCTCGTTTTCTACTGATTTTCGTTCGACTTAACAAATTCGCCATTTCTAAATCGCTCGACTGCAACGAGTGGTATGAACCACTCGTCGCTTAGCGAACGTTGTATGCGAGTGATAGGAGAAAACGAGCGCTCGACGCGAGACGAATGATTCAAAAATAGAGCCCCTGCTTATATTATAGGTAAATACAATAGTTTAAATAAAGGTGTCTGGTAGCATAGTTGGAAGAGCACTCACGATGTTAAGGTTGAAATGAGTCTTGTCTAGTACCTGTGATTTACGATTTTCTCAAGTATTTCTCTAAAATAAAATCAACTTCCGTTATTAACAATGTTGAAATAAAGTCGCTTTCTCCGACTGTGCGACGCAAATCTGCATTCCTGATAAGTGTGGGTAAACTAGTTAGAACCAACTTTGTGCATGTAGCGTAGTGTTATCACTGAAGCAAAACTTTGGAAACCTTTTTGATGAATAAAAATTAGAGGAAGGATTATTAAATTTAGCACTGTTATGTGAACAGAAAATTAAATCAGCATTATAATATTGGTCGGGGATGAGTATGCGTAGTGTTGTGAAGGATAAAGTAAAAATAATGTTTGTATAAGAATAACTTTACTAAGTATCTATCAAAAATTTATAATGTTTTCTAAGCTAATTTATTTATTAATGATAAATGAGATAATTGTTAGAGAGAACATCCAACTGGTAACGGGGATCGAAATGTTCTACTGAAAAAACATATGTAACTACAGGCTGGCTGGCGGTGACCTAATTTCGGCCTCGAGTCGCGCTTATTTATCTAAACTACGTAAAATGCATATAATGCAGTATTCGGTCATTAACCGTACATATTCCCGGGCATGAAAAATAAGGAACTGTAAAAGATAATAACAATAGAAATGAGGGTTAACAATGTTTCTGAGACAAAATTATCGACAATTTTTATCTCTAAGTGCTAATGATGGTTTAAATAAATATTAATGAAATGATTTGAAATTAATATAATTATAAACCAAAATGTTATGTCACTTAGGCGAAGTCTCCATTTAATGTTAGTCTGCTCACTCACGAAATAGTATTTTTTTTTGCAACCGGCACTGATTTTAAAACTTTTAGCTCGGTTTCACTATTATATTTACACACTCGCGCACTATCACTCACACTGACGTCACTAAGATGACCCATGCTGGTGGTGCGGGCTGCGCCGGCGACTCTGGCCGCACCGCTGCTTGCCCATCTGTGACATTCTGCACAAGCGCTTCTGTATCTAGAACCGCAGGCAATCCTCTCCCGCGTCCAACTCTGCGAAATAAAAGAATTGGTTCTACTAAAGCAGCTCCCGCCATTATACCGTATAACAAGGTATATTGATGTACATATGTCAGGAGATGTGAGATGAGATGTGAGAATCTAATGACAATTTTATATCCTTTAACATTTGGATCTTTCTATCGATCTCATTTGATATGTGTTTCGTCTCTTAGTCATCGTAACCGTCATTATAATGTTCCATGCTTATGTTTACAACGTGATTAATTGGAGCTAGGTAGTGAATTCCTAAGAATCATGTATAGTAATTGAATTTCTTTGAAAATTTTGAGCGTATATGGAGAAATTGTCAGTTTTAATCGAGCAGTCGCCTTCTATGCTGATAAGACTCGGGCTCGTCACCTGATGTGCGGTAACTTGATCCTAAATAAATAGGTGTTAGGTTTTGATAACGTATGCCATTGACTTTGGAACGTGACAGTATTTGTTTTGCAGCGGTTAATTGTTTCTTGACTTTTTATACACAAATCCTTTTTTAATTTGTATACAGGGCTTTTAAAATGGCAAAATTAAGGTTATCAGATCCTTTCTTAAGCAGCTTCGAAAGTTTTTAGGGGATACTGTTATATAAGAATCCTTTTGTAGGCAAATTCTTTTGTTTGCACGTATTTCATAATGATAAATGTGGCTTTATTTATTTCTTGTAACGTGATATGTTTAGGTAAATGCTTACGCTGTAAGTTCATTGTCCGTAGTATCCATGAAATTATTCGAATGATACGTGTTATAGAATCAATAATTTTTTTACTGTTTGTACAACGTTTGTTTGTTTATGAAATTTTTTTCTTAATTCTAAATCTGTACCGTATTTAATCTGCTCTACTTGTATGTTATATATAGAAAGCCACGATGGACCGTCCCAGAGCGTGTTTTCTTTTAGTTGTAAAGCGTATAAGCCTCTGCTTGCTGCGTCCACTGGTTTGTCGCTTGATTTTACGTACTTTCAGCTGTCACTTGGCAATATTTTAATGTCTTTTTCGACTCTATTGGCTACAAAGGATTTCCGTCGACTGGATTCGACTTGTATCCATCCTTATGTAACCATAGAGTTCGTCCAGCTATAAACTTTGATAATCCGATTAAGGGGTTGTTTTATTTTATCTATTAACTTAACTAGTAATAGTGCGCCGCTAAGCTTGGCGTATATACCAGGGGTTTTCTATTGTATTTATTAATTTAATGTCTGTTATTATCTTAGACCACTCATTGATAATATTTTCTGGAACCAGGTCATCCCATCGTAAGTTGAGCTTCCATATTTTTTGAAAAAGTAATTTCATTTTTGTTGACACCGGTTTTTTTTTATCTGAAATGTAAACTTATCAGTCAATGAGTTCCATCCAAGTCCTAAAATTTTGGAGATATTTTTTGCTTTAAAAGTATACATGGACTCCTCATTGATATTTTGTTCTTGTTTTATGTTTGTCAATAACTCATTATCGTTAGATGACTATTTCCTTAAATTCATTCCACCTGATCTAAGTGATGAAATAATTCAATAATTATTTTCTTCTCGTTAGTTTCATGGACTACTTCATCCATGTAACATGCAGATTCCAGCACTTAGCTGCCTTGGGATATGTTTTGACAGTGTTTCCCTCCATATATTTTTTTGTGGATTTTGATCTTGTTCTGCAATTAATATTTACCTAAACATTTTCTCGATGTCGGCATTGTACGCGTATCTATACTATCTTCATTTTAAGAGTAATGTCTGGAAATCATGTTGCAGATAAGGGTCGGCGTACATTACGTCATTAAGACTATAGCCTGAGGATGTTTTGGCAGATGCGTTAAATACAACCCTATATTTTGTCGTCAACCACTCTTGGCGTTAAACTCCGTGTGTGGTAAATAACATTCAATTGATGTGATACTATCAGTATCAAGTTTCATATGGCCTAAAGAAAATTTTCAGTCATAAAAGCTTTATACTCATTCGATGGTTGTAAATGTTTCTCAAATTTATTTTCTAGATTCCTAAATTGCGCTATAGCCATTTGTTTTGAAGTTCCTAGCTTCTTCTCTGCGTCTTTTTTAAGAGGTAAGCGTACTTCATAACCACCATCTTCTTTTCTTACTGTAGTTGTTGTAAAGAAATGAACATATTCTTGTTCTTCTACTTGTTGATAAATTTGACGGTTCGCTAATTACTTAAATTTCCCAAAAGCGTTGTATGTCGTCTGTGTTGTTTATAACCACGTTGCAGTGATGGGTTTTGGCATTACCACATAGCAACCAGCCTAATTGTGTTTGTTGAGCGATGAGCAGTGGTGCATGCTCGCCCTTAATAATTCCATTCAATATTATGACAGTAGCTCGGTGGCGTAGTGGATAAGCGCCGTGGCCCGCGATCGTAGTCGTTAAGCAACTTTCGCAAGGGTCGGTCACGGGATGGGTGACCAAAAAATTATTATCTCGAACTACTCCGTGCTTCGGAAGGCACGTTAAGCCGCTGGTCCCGGCTGCATTTGCAGTCGTTAATACCCTCCAATCCGCATTGGGCCAGCGTGGAGGGTCATGGCCCATCCTCCTTAACCATCCATAAGGAAGCCCTGAGCCCCTGCAGTGGGGACGTAAAAGGGCTGGTGATTATGACAGAATAAATATTTGCTCCTAACAATAAATCAACTGGTCTACTTTTGTAAAATTCCGGGTCAGCTAAACTTATGTTCGATATATGATTCCAGGACGGCTTTTCAAATGTTTTATTCGGTAGATAATTCATTAAAGTGATCATCTAAATACTTCCGCGTTAATTGTAAAGTCGTTGTACGATGAACGACACTCTATGTTAGACAATCCTTTACAAGAGTTTACCTTTTCTCCAACTCCAAATATTGTACCCTTGCATTTTTCTCTCTTAATATCTAATTGTTACGCTGCTTTTTCGGTAATCAACGAAATCTATGAGCCTTAATCGATTAAGGCCCTTATGTTAATGTAAGTTTCGTCCATAGATTTAACTTTTAATATTGCAGTTGCAAATTAAATCTCAGAGTCGTTATTTTGCGATATGTGCGAATTTGTTATAGGATTTTCATTGCAATAGTGTCCGTTCGACGACCGTTCTCTTTATATATATATATATATATACACACACACACACACACACGTACGTACTGCACTACAATGTTCACTGTTCACCAAACCAAAGTCAAGTTAATACGCGCGCGAGGTGGTCGCTCGAAGGAAGACTGATCGGGGATGAGTATATGCATAGTGTAGGGGAGGATAAAGTAAAAATATTGTTTGTATTAGAATAACTTTACTAAGTATATATCAAAAGTTTTAAATGTTTACTAAGCTTAAGTAAATTGTAAGAGAGAAAACATCCAACCGGTAATGCGGATAGAAATGTTCTACTGAAAAAAATAATTTCGGCCACGAGCCGCGCTTATTTACTTAAACTACGTAAAATGCATATAATGCAGTGTTCGGTCATTAACCGAACACATAGCTTTAAATAAGGCTTAAAAATACAATAAAAAATCATAGATAAGCATTTGATTACCTAATATCAAACAATTATATATGTTCGAGTTTCGTCAATCGGGCGACCACTAGTTATAATTAGAGACACGTGCTTTACTCGGATTATAATTTACATATATCCCTCTTCAAACCTTGTTTGCTTGTAGTAGACAAATCTGAAACGACCAATGTAGGTACTACTACATTCAGAGCTAAGATAATATATATCTAGTAAGACTATCATTGACTTCTTATGGCACCCAATGTTGATTAGCACTGGATACAGATTTTGATAGAGAGTTTTGCCTGAACATTGTTGAGTATAGGCTAGTGTAGCAGCGAAAAGTACCTAACAAGTTCTTGGAAAATTCATCAGTCCTGTTTGGGCCTGGGGTGGCTCAGTGATAAGAGCAGTCACCCCATTGCGAAAGTTCGTCGGTTCGAGTTCCATCACAGAGTACCTGGGGCCTCCACCAGCCCCTTTTAAGAATATATATTGTGTTTTATGTGAATATTTATGAAGATTCCTTCTAATGGGCTTAGTTGAGACCTAGTAATAAAGGTGGTTTCAATGCTTTTTGTACATTTTGTAACATAGATCTTTAAATAGCGTTGACGACTAATTTTTGTTTGTTTGTTTGTCAGGTAGATTATTGAGGAATAATAAACACTATTGATATAAGTATTTTTTTATTTTATGCGTAATCAATAAATTCAGGCGATACATTGCCTTGAAATGTCGTATGACGTCGCTTTTGTACTTTTTCTACAAAACTGTGACGAAGCGTCCAGATTTTTTGTTAAATTGTAGAGGAATAAAAATATGAATCTTATATTTTTCTATTATCTGCCTGACGGATTAAGTAGAATGTCTTTTTTCAATTTTTTTTAAGGTTTAATCAATATTAAATTATATAACGTTTATTCTAGTAATTGATGTATTTAATTAACGATTATTTTTATGATCAGAAAATGTGTTTCAATTTTTTTTGACCATATAGGTATTTAACAAATTTGAAATTAAAATAGTATACAGGTTTCTGCAGCAGCATTGATGTCGCCCCAACCGGGAATAGGAACTGGGACCAATTCAAATTTAATTTTGTTTAATTAACAGAGTTGTGCAACATAATTGATACAAATGTCATCTTTTCTTCAGTTTCACTTTAATAATTTACACGTTTGTCACGTGATTGTATGAATTTTTTTTTAAACAATTTTATACAATTTTGAGGCTATGCTAAAATTCGCCAAATCAAATTCATTTTATGAAAATTTAATATATGATCGATTATTTGCTAAATATAGTACAAATACACAACATCATCATCATCACCAGCCCTTTTACGTCCCCACTGCAAGGGCTCAGGCTTTCCTTATGGATGGTTGGAGGATATATAATGGATAAGGAGGTCAAATACACAACACAACAGAATAATTGACTAGATAGATTTTACGAATAGTATATTTCGTCTTAACTAGGTATGTAAAATAGGTTTACATATATTCTTTTGATCTCATTTTTTTTTTAATAATTGAATTTTTTTCTGTGATTAAAAATGTTTGAAATCAAACGCGCGCGTCTACTCACGATGCGTAATTGTTTGAGTATTTGTATGGGAACGTAATCGCAAGTACACGAGGGACAGTAGGTTGTACAAACGTCCATTAAGGTTTGATGATGCCTTAAGGCTCTTCTAGAAGTCGTCATGAATGATAACAAAATAATAGTTCTTATATTTCATTACTTGATACATAAAAGTATTAACAAATCTTATTATACCGATGCACAACATAACCTATGCACATAACTCGCAAGATGGCTTTAGACCATAGACCACAATAGTCTTAACTCTATGTACTTATGACTATACCACACGTTACAGCTCTAATGAATGTTAAATTTCAGTCACTTTAAATTTATGAATTTGTGCAGCTGACTATTAATTCATTAACTACAGGACAAGTGAATGTTATCGGTGTGGCGACCGCGACCTTGCTAATATCTACTTATAATTAGCACTACATTTTATTCAACGATTTGAGAACGTAAACTCAAGATAGCGATTAACCAATTTCGAATACATCTGAGCAAATTATCATTGGTCGAAAATGCGGAATGCGGAAATTTGTCTGGCCTGCATGAGATTGCACCTGATTTCGAGGATACACTTTTACTTATCGCTAGGAAGACCCAGCTTGGGAATGCGGGAGATCTGAGCTGGAACTGACTTCAATTTGATTAGCGTCGGATTATATAAAATGTGTTCAAATTCTTCTTATTCATTTTTCCAATAATACAAAATCTACTCATAACAATATTAAAAATCTAAAATTGTAACAACGCACATACATACTACATTATGAATGAACATAATAATAAATATTTAACAATATGCCTAATGAACGGATCGAATCTTGTCTCCGGTCTTTTGTTTTAATAGTCAGCACGTGTGACGTTATGTAACACCTACTCGCTGGCCCCTTCTTTCCTCTGGTGACTTTAACTACATCAACATTTAAAAGAACACTAAAGGTAGTGATTTATGATGGAACAAAAGCATTAATTTAAAAATATTATTCTCAGATGCAGTGACGAGACCTTTGGCAAGGACGCATGCTACAGTATCGGGAACGATAATCGTACTATACGGTGTACCGAGTGGGTGTACGATAACCCTAATAGCTTTGTCGCGGAGGTAAATTATCTTTTTTTTAGATTTTACCATTTTAAAGCAAAAATAAAGAGGAATTGTAATTATTTTTGAAGACTCCGGTCAAGTACGATTCGGTTTCGAGCATGAGGGGATCCGTACCATTATCCATTAAAAAAAGTTAAAAAAAAACACGTTTGTTGTTTTCTATGGAGTTGTTCAAAATTTTCGAGTAAAATAGAATTGATCGACTATTCCTAGTAAACTTGTAAAGCCAACTTAGTGTGATAGTTTTCCTTTTAACTACGTTATATGTAAGTAACAACCGTTTAGTTGGTGGTGGGGACACTTGACTCTAACGAAAATTAGCTCTTTAAAGCTTAGAAAATCAAAAAGTCACAAACGGTTTAGTAAATCGAAAACCAGCCTCCTCATACTCCCAAAAACTTTTGTAAGACCTATCTAACGATGTCCTATATCATGGGGAAGACGAAATTATGGCCACTTAACATGTAAACTAAAAAAATAACATGGAAACTAAAAAACATTATTTTCCAAATTTTCTTTACCTTTTTGCCTCATGCCAAATTAAAACTTTCTAGTACCAATAGCTTTTGAGCTAAACTGTAGACGGACGGACGGACAGACGGACATAGTGAAACTATAAGGGCTTCTTGTTTATTACGGAACCCTAAAATATTGTCATGTTTAACGTATGATTTACTAGAATAATATAGTAGTAAATATTTGAGGTCAATGGCGCAGTGGTTAGCGCTTTCTGTCTGTAATACGGAAGCTAAGCACCTTTCACAATGGGCGGACATAGGATGGGTGACCAATAACGTTTACAATTCGATCCCATCCTTAGGAAAGGGTTGTGCTCCAACAGTTGTTGCGTTAATAAGCTGGTTGATAAGAAATTTTGAAAATCTAAGTTGATTGAATATTAAAAAATTCCTAAGAGGACATATATCAGGATTATTTGAAGTAAATTAGTAATATGACATATTTCTACCATTTTGACAATGTTTGACAATGATATAGAGTTGAAGAAATATAGAAATATTCCTTTCCAAATATAATTTTCAGGAATTTAGAATTATAGCATTAATAAAAATAAGACATCCGTGGTCGTGGGGTATATAGACCAGTTTCATCAACCACCACAATGACCAAAGTAAAAATTGTTCTTTTAGCGAAGGTTACCCAGGAGAAACTTCTTTTTAGCTATAATACTGGTATGTTGTCCATCTCATATGTAATTATTTTTCAGTTTCAGCTCGCTTGTCAAGAATGGAAGCGAACTTTAGTTGGGACAGTGCACAGTTTTGGATACATGGTGGGACTACTTGTGGTCGGGCCCATGTCAGACAGGTATTTTTCTGGTCAATTCGCAAACATTATATGAATATGCATCAAATATGTATTGAGAATTTTAATGTTACGAATCATTTAATCAAAAGATTATTTTAAATTGATCAAGGTATTTTATTATGGCATAATTAATGTAATGTGGCGGGAAGACAGTAGATATGTTTGCAGCGTTTGTGACAAACCTGCGACCCATGACTTTAGACTTTGTCGTCACATTGAAGAGTTAGAAGAAGGACAAAATATCAACATAAAAATTCAATCCAAAAAAACACTATTTATTTTATATTTTCTTAATACCACCCACATAAATCATTGTCGAAAGCCTACTCGTATAGAAAGACCTTCGATTTACCATTTCGACAACCATTGTGTAGGTGATAACTTACGAAAGTCTGAATAGATAGATGAGAGTCATCAACACCTACTGGCGACCTTATTGTGTAACCTTTGATTGCTTTCAATTTGTCTATTGAATGATAACCGGTTTTTTTCCTTGCGGTGAGCAGTCGCGCAAGTGATAGTGGTCCAATCTTTATTTTTTTAAAAGATGGGTGACTCCTGTTCTGTCTTATTACTACGAAACAACATACATTTAACATTTTTTAATATTCCAACATTTATTAAAATTAAATCAGCTATTTTATATCTTAATTTTATTAAATACCTATTTCAAAATACTTCCGTTTGGATTTTATATTCATAAGTATATATCATAACTTGTTTAGTTATGGTAAAAATTAATAAAATCCTTTTAGACACTTAAAAGTGCCTTACGGCGGTTGCGTTGTTTAATTACAAAGATCTCACGGTTACCTTTCAGTTCCATCGTTAGATCCTGGATATTACCTCCAACCAAATTCTTGACAAGACAAATTGGAATTAGCTAGACTAATTTCGTTAAATTTATTTATGTATCTCTGTAAAAATGTAAATAAAACTGCTCTAATCAGTGAAATAAATCTGAAGGCAATCCTTTGCATACAAGTATTATAACAATCGTAACTAGTAGACGTAAAGTACGTGATAAAACCTCTGTTGTGTAATGTTAGGAACGTGTTGATGTTCATGCTTATAAAATTATCTCTTAATTTTTTATAAAATTATTTGCATTTACTGTTTATTGTTGAAATGCGGTTTGTGATAAGCAGACATGATTTCTGAATTTTTCTTATCTACTCCAGATTTGCAATTCACACAATCTTTGTATCTAACCGAATTCAAAATTTAAAAAAAAAGATGTTATATATATATTATGCTCATCGATTTCTCCGCACATTGTAGACTCGTTAGTAGTACAACATTTACTAATTTGAAAAAAAAAAATATTTGCCTTGATAGTAACTAACAAGTTACTACGCAAATCTTGGAACTAAAATTTGACCCACTCCCCAATATCCAAAAGCTTCGAAATTTAGCATAGACATGTAAGTCAGATGACAATGCAATATTATGGTGTCAGTAAGTTGATATGATGATGAAGGTATTCATACTACATACTTAGTTTGGGCTCGTTAGATCCGTCTTTATGATGACTTTTGTATTGGATGTTTTCCAGACCAAGGTCTGCTGATGATGGAAGGTGGTCGTAGAAACTTAGTATTGAAATACCGCAATTGCATTGTGTTTGGGCTCTTTAGATCAGTCTTTATGAGAACAACAACATATTGAGACAAAAGCAAAAAATAAAATATAGTATAAAAGTCCTGTAAAACTAACGTCATTTGTGCGCACTAAATCGTAAATAAATAAATTCTTAACATTTAAAGTCATCATCAGCCCTTTATTTTGTCCCCACTGCAAGCGCTCAGGCCTTTCTTATCCATAAGGAAGGCCTGAACCCCATTGCAAATGCAGGCGGGACTAACGGCTTAACGTGCCTTTCGAAGCAGCTAGCTCGAGATAATATTTTTTTGGCCACCTATTCCGTGACTGACTGTTGCGAAAGTTGCCTAAAGCATGCCATGGCGCTTATGCACTACGCCAAGTAATTGACTTTAAATGCTAAGAATTTATTTGTTTATGTTCTAGTGTGTTCAAAAAATAAAACGTTTTATTTTTAATTTTCTTTATTATACACTGGACCGCAAAGAAAACGGGTCGGTTAGAAAATCGTCAATATCTTGAAAACTACTTAACTTATTTTTATGAAATAAAAACTAAATTAAAGATTATTTAATTGTAATTTATTGAATATAAAAAAATACAAATTAAAAGTTTTCTATTTTCAATAAATGTCAAACGAATGAAAAAGGTAGTTTTTCTGACATTTTCGTAAATATGAATTGTATAAAGATGTGACGTTTTTACGCATGTTAGTATTTCGTGTTGCCTCCACGAGCTTGCAAAACTGCGGCTATGCGATTCGGCATACCTTCCACAAGGTTTTTAAGGCGATGCTGCGGAATGTTCTGCCATTCCTCGATCAAAGCTCCTTTCAATTCACGCAGCGTGATTGGCGGCGGATTCCGTTGACGTACACGTCGTCCCAGTTCGTCCCATGCATGTTCGATGGGGTTTAAGTCGGGGCTTCGTGCTGGCCACTCCATGCATGTGATACCTACTTCGTGAAAATAGTCGAACACTATCTGAGCTGTATGCGGGCGGGCGTTGTCTTGCATAAAAACAGCATTTTCGCCCATATCTACTAAAAATGGACCGACATAGTCATTAAGAATTTCATTCACATATCGTTCTGCTGTTAAACTGCCATTTTCTATCACTACTAGCTCAGTACGGCTTTCGGAAGAAATCCCAGCCCACACGTGTATAGAGCCACCGCCATATGGTACTTTTTCTTCTATACTAGCTTGGTTATAGCGCTCTCCCGGTCTTCGGTACACTCTTTTCCTCCCATCGTGCTTGTATAAACAGAATCTAGACTCGTCTGAAAACATAACTCTTGACCAGTCATTCAGAGTCCAAGTTTCGTGTTCTCTGCTATAACTCAGCCTTGAGTTTAAGTGGTGTCTTTCTAATTTTGGGCCATTTGCAGGCCTTAATGGTCTCAAATTTGCTTCAGCCAGACGTCGCCTTACTGTATCTGTACTCAGATAGTTTCCTCCAGCTCGTAAATGGTGATTTTTTACCTCAACGGCCGTAAGAAATAGATTTCTCAAAATTGTTGACACCATATAGCGATGCTTCCGCGCAGTTGTGCAGCTCGTTCGGCCTGTTCCTGGTCTTCTTAGGTTGGATCCAGTTTCATGGAAACGCTGGAGTACCCGCTGAACTGTGAAAAGACTCACACCAACAGTTCTCGCTGTATTGCGCTGACTGCGCCCATCTTCAAGCATTGTCAGGATCCTGGTGCATTCTTCAGGGGTTAACGACATGATGACTTCAGAATACAATTTTTGTATGACAAACACACGATATTTATTGTAGTTTTTATGTCAAAACTAAAACAAATGCGAAACAAATGCTTTGATTTTTTTAGAACTAAATTGAAAAACAACCATTATCTTCATTGCCAGTTTTCTTACACAATTATTTAAAGTAAATAAAAAGGTTTTATATACTATGTTAAATAACATTAAATATTCTTTAATTGAGTTTTTATTTCATAAAGCTAGGTGAGGTAGTTTTCAAGTTATTGAAGATTTTCTAACCGACCCGTTTTCTTTGCGGTCCAGTGTATTTTTAAAAATTCTTTTTATGTAAGGTACGTTTCATATCAAATTAAATGGAAGAATTCTTCCATATTTTGTTTATTCATATGACATATTTATGTCGAAGTAAACCTCTGAGTACTTTTAAAATTATAAGAAGATGATTTGCTGACCCTTTTCGTCTCCTAAGACTAGGTCGCAAGTTGACGTTGGTCATCACGGGTGTGCTGGGTGGCCTACTGGGCCTCGCCCGCAGCTTCACCACGTGGTACTGGCTCTATATCGTTTTGGAGTTTCTCGAGGCCGCTGTTGGAGATAACTGTTCACCCATGTTCATACTTAGTAAGAACCCTTTTTACATGAACAATTAAACATACAGAGTTACATAAACATTATTGATCTAAGATAATTTTATTGTTAGAATGAACATTCATCATCACCAGACTTCCCCATTGCAGGGGCGGCTCAGGCCTTCCTTATTAATTTAAAGCTTTCCTTAGTATGGTTAAAGGGGATGGGCCATGAGCCTTCTCGCTGGCCCAATGTGGATTGGAGGGTATTTACGACTGCAAATACAGTCGGGACCCGTTGGTTCCTGTTGGCTTAACGTGCTTTTTGGAGCACGGAGTAGCTCAATATAAAATTTTTTTGGTCACCCATCCAGTAACCGACCCTTGCAAAGGTTGCTTAACAACAACGATCGCGGGTTGCGGCGTTTATCCACTATACCACAGACTTCGAGGATGATCATTACTATATCATTATAGGTACTGTGATGTCTAGTGTGTGTGTTAATTTATTTTTTCACACAGCAAGAACCACTCCTCCGAATAATTGTAATGTTTTTATTATTTGTTATAGCTATTGAAGTCGTATCTACAAAGAAAAGAGCATTATTCTATGTTTTGTGTGGTTTTGGATACACATTTGGCGGTATCATGCTACCGACGGCTGCTTGGATCTTCCCATATTGGAGAACGTTTCTTAGAGTTATTTATACCCCAGCGTTATTTTTTTTCCTATATTTATATGCTATAGACGAAAGCCCAAGATGGCTACTGACAAAAGGAAAAAAAGAAAAAGCCATAACTATTATAGAAAAAGCAGCTGCTAAGAACAAAATTGAAATAGACAGAGCAGTCTTGGAGAAACTCCAATATGAAGAAGAGAAAAGTATACGATTCTTGGAGCTATTAAAGATGACATTTTCATCAAAAACACTAACGACGCGATGCTTGATATGCATTATTTGGTGGACTACATCAACCTTTGTAAACTTTGGCTTGACCATCAATTCGGTTTCGTTGCAAGGGAATATGTATCTAAACTATATGCTTATGTCTTTGGTGGATATACCTGGAAATATCATTATAATTTACATATTGAACAACTTCAAGAGGAAAATGCCACTGATAACGTCTTTCATTGTCGGCGCAGTATTGTGTTTCTCCCAGCCGTTTATACCCTCTTGTAAGTAACAGTTTTACAGTATACATTATGATCGTCTTAAAAAAAGCTTTTTTGACCCACAATATTTACGTCAACATAATCCCAATAATTTGTTATAAAATTTGATGTACCTTCATTTGTATACAAAAAGCCTGAAATAACTACATCGTTATAAAAAGATACGAATAAAAATGTAACTAAAATCGCCTATTAAAAGTTTGGCCTCACCTAGTTTTTACTACCCCCATAGTTTTCAGATTCAATCAACTTAAAATATAATAATCAACTTATCAAATGCATGTCTGTATTCCAGATCTGCCATGGCTATCAATATCGTTCTACATGGCGGGCAAACTGATGTCCTCCTTCTACTTCAGCATCACATATATGTTTACATCTGAGCTGTTTCCAACGTACACTAGAAACTCCATGCATGCATTATGTTCCTCTATTGGTAGGATTGGATCTATGGTGGCGCCTCAGACACCGTTACTGGTAATTACATTTAGCTGATTCCACGAATATAAAAACATCTCAGATTAATAATAGATCGTACGTGACTTAAAAATAAATTTATAAATTTGTTTAACAAAATCAGGCGTTATTTTCAAGCAGGGCAGAAGTCCTTTACTAAAACTATGAAACTATGATGTGTACCACGTTTAGAGTGGGGAGTTTTGCGAGATTTTTTGTAATTTGTATGTACTACATGTGAATTTGTGAATGGGAATAGAAATTGGTAAATATCATAGTGTCATATTTTATAAATTTGGCTTAAAGTAACGTACGTTTTGTTTTTTTGCCTTTGTTTCTATTAAGCAAGAAAACATGTTAATGAATAGAAAGAATAACTTAGATTTCTTGTTGTCCTAGCTTTTAAATAATTCATTAATTTCTTCCCAGATGCATTACTGGCCTGGGCTACCACCGTTAGTATTTGGCGGAGTATCGCTGGTAGCAGGTCTGGTTACTTTCCTGGTACCAGATACAGCTGATAACTCTTTACCTAATACTGTCAAGCAAGCTGAAGCTCTCGGAAACTCAATAACACTGAAAGAGCATATCGAGGAAAAGGGCAAAGTAAATTTAGCATTCTCTAAAGAAGATACAGGGATTAACTTGGTTGTGAATAGAGAAAGTAACTTGTCACGGTTGTGATAGTAATTTTTTTATGTATTTTTGTTATTTATAAGCTTTGTTGTGTGTGATTGTAAATACATCATGATATAATTAACGTTTGTATAAATATATCTACTAATCTTGACTTTAATAATCTTGTCTTGTGTTTTCTTGGAATAAAAGCGAAAAAAAATTAAGGTTCATGAACTATAAAATCGTGAAAACGAAATGAGCAACTGGATTAAATTTGCAGTTGAAAAACTGTTGCTTTTGGATCGCGATCAATTTCGATGTACCAAAATAGTTGCGATCAATTTATTAAGTGAAAATTGACAGTCGTCGGATTTTTCTCTTTTCTTGTGCTATTACACGTTGCTTCTTCAGTGGTGTAGCATAGTGGGGCGTAATAATGATGACAGATTTTGCCGAAAAATTCTTTAATATTAATGAATATAATGTATAGTATAATTATTTAAAATGCCTAATTAAGAGGGGTGGCAATGTTGTCTTCCACCCCGGGCGGCAGACACCCACGCTACGCCACAGTGCTTTTTGCCAACTTTATGATTTTAGCTGAACGCGAAATAAATCATAGCTTTACGAGAGTGATAACATATACAGCTGCGACAAATTGTGGACTTTTATCCTAAGTATTCGATATTAATTTTGACTTGATTTTATATATGAATTAATCATCAGATAAAGTGCTTTTTAATTTTAGCTAAAATTATCTATACCAATCAAAATCAATATGAAAAATAAAATTCTATTTTTAATTTTTTTCTGTATCATGTTATATTTTATCTATATGAACATCATGCGAACATTAGCACATTCGTATTAGATCACGTACGTACAGAAAGCTCACAGTATCGCAGCTGGCACGCGTATAATTGCGACATAGTTGCATAGCGCCATATATGTCCCATTTCCGAATGCGACCGTGTCTCAGTCAGCTATTTTTAATTTCCCAGCGACGCCACCTGCGGCGGGCGTTCCGCCAATATCAAGGCCTGAGTGCGGCTCTGTTACGATTTCACGCGGCGTTTGGGTCCGATTGTTGCTTGCTGTAGTCACAGATTTATGATCTAGATACCGTGTGTCGGTCGCGTTATTAAATTTTATGAATGTGTCAGCGTTACAATAAAAGTTACATTGTGTTGAACCCGCAGAATGTTGAGGAATCTTAATGGGTAAAACAATGTTGTTTTAAACTATTTATAATAAAGGAAACGTCAGTGATATCACTGAACTTAATATGACTTTGATGCTAAACTTAATATGACTATGAACTTGGTATAAAATATAAATATATTTTTTTTATTGTCTTCACGTCATGTAATGATACTATTATTACTATTTTTATTGTCTTCACGTCATGTATTAATAATATTTTACTAAAGTAAATATTCGAAACAATCGTAATAAACGGTTTACTTTAAAGTCCTATTTTACCGAATATTGTATATAATATCATCGCTTTACTGTATTTTGGGTATTTTATTTATTGGTACATATGGTGATATTTAACTTATTGGTAAGTTGAATATCTGACTCTATTTATAAAAAGAATTAACGTGTTTTCAGGTATGAGTTTACTATCAGACTGTTTGAATGGTCACTTACAAATGCATTATTGTTTATATTAAAAATGTCACAGATTACTTCGCCACAGAGTGGATGACAAAGATTATCAAACAGATGTGGCACAATATAAACAAATATTGAAATGCTTAGACCAAAACATGGTGAAATAAAAATATCACATTTTCCTTTGTTTTAAGCTTTTGTAGGGCAATTATCAGTGAAGCACTAACAACGGCTGGTATTGTGTAAGTCACGTAGAGCTCTAGTGGTGATACAACTGTAACACCTAATCCCAGCTGGTTCGCGTAATTGCGACGTGTTTGCATCGGCCATGCCGCCACCGCCATAGCAAGCGTGCCGACTGCAATCCCGATGGCTATTTCCAATTTAGCGACGTGGCCGCCATGTAGATATTAATCTTTGAATACAGCTCTGTTCTAATTTCCTAATACATTTTTTTTGGATTTTATTAGAAACTGTAATATATATAGTTTGCTAATGATACAGGTGTTAATTTATTATGATATTGTCATTTACTTTTTATGTTTCGTTTTAAAATAGAGGAGAGAGTATTTCATCATCATCATCATCAGCCCTTTTACGTCCCCACTGCAGGGGCTCAGGCCTTTCTTATGGATGGTTAAGGAAGATGGGCCATGACCCTCCACGCTGGCCCTGGTATTAGCGACTGCAAATGCAGCCGAGACCAACGGCTTAACGTGCCTTCCGAAGCACGGAATAGCTCGAGATAATAATTTTTTGGTCACCCATCCCGTGACCGACCCTTGCGAAAGTTGCTTAACGACTACGATCACGGGCCGCGGCGCACGGTATTTCAAATATTATAAAATATTGGGAATAACAAGAATCGTAGTTTCAATATATGTAAGACATATACCTAACTTTTCGTATCAAATAAATTATTAAAATCAGGCTGGCAGTTTTACGTATAAATAGAAAGCAATAATAATGGGGTTATGTCAGCCTTTTTGATAAATTATCATGAGATAATATTTATTTTAAGTTTAGTAATAAGAGAAGATTAGTTATCGTAATGATGTGACTTTATCTATTTGTTTATGATTTTATAGTTGGCCAGACCGTGAAAAAATGTACAAGACTTTTCTAAAGCTCCGCACTGGGTATTGAGACTAGTGAATGATGTATACTCTTTGTACTTGATATTGAAATGTCAAGCTTTAGAAAACCCATCCACATTTTTTGCCACGACCTCTTAGACTATAATATCGATGAAGCTTTGAAAAATACTACGTTTTATTTAATACTAGCTTGCCGCCAGCGGCTTGGCCCGCGTGGTCTTGTATTATACATAAAAACCTTCTTTTTGAATCATCCTATCTATGAAAAAAGGCATCAAAATCCGTTGCGTAGTTGTAAAGATATACATACATGATACTTATCGTTTTTACAAGAATTAACATATTTATTTTACTACTCTATTTATCTATTTATTTTTATTTGGTTCTTCACACCTAGTGATAACGCTATAAAAGCTATATAAATAATAAAATTTTCAAAAAATAGCGTTTTTGAAAATTTAATTTAGAGCAAAGTCAAAAATAAGTATAGCTACTTTTCACTTTGCAGAAAAAAGACCGCATTTCCATGATAATCTGTACACCATCCATGTCCCATACTGATGGGACATGGATGGTGTACAGATTATCATGTAGTGTACTGACACTAAACGAGTTTATTAATGCAATAAAAGGTCAATTTGAATTGAACATATTTCTTTTTTTCATCTCTTTCAAAAATATGTTCATGACGAACAACAAACAACTTTACAAAAGATACACATATACCAAGTAAATAATTAGAAAAATAAAAAACACAACTGCCTTAATCGAACTAAAAACAAAGGAAACAAGTTGTATGATGGCTTGGTTAAATATAATTCTCATTGCAGTTGGGGAACTCTTATATTACAAATATTCCACAGAATAGAACGGTATAGCCAGTGTTACCCGGGATGATGAGTTTCTAAAGATATCCTATCCGTTGAGTCTTTCAAAAGTTATGATGGAAAACACAGATACATACCCTAAACGCAATAAACTTCTTTTTTGGGCAGTAGTGTTATTATCAAAGTGGGTCAAATTTAGATATGTTTGTTTATTTATACGAATTTTATAAAGTAAAATATACTTGAAATCCATTAGCTGCACCAGGTGTGCCACTAGCCCTATAGTAATATTTTATTTAAACACACTTTCAATCTTACTTTTTTATTATCGCACCCGGGTGGTGAACTTAAAAGGAATATCTTTCCTTTGTATCCGGTTTATTTCTTATTCGTGGAAATAATTCTGTTTACGGCTCGGTAAAGAATATTACATATTTATTTACCAAGAAATACCGATGAAATTTGATTGATATATTGTTATATAAGATTTTCCTACTAAATCTTACGTAAGTAATTTAATGAAAATTAAATGAATATAAAAAAATCGTCTGTTTTGCTACATTTTCATAATAATTTTCTAATGTAGATAATATATATTGAAAACAGATTGATTATTTTTCTTAGTATAAAATTATGTACTTTTTATGATTAGTGTCATTGACATTTCATTTCGAGTACTATTTTTACAAAGACCAAGGTACTAAAGTTTAAATCAGCTAAGGTATTATCAATTTAGTGGGGAGTGGCAGTTGTTTGCGCTTGTAGTCTAATGCGGGCTATTAAAATTCAAAGTCCGTGACTGCACATAAAAATTTTGTCGTGGTAAGGGGTCCAGACTGCTGCCCCTCGGGACGCTGCGCAGGCCGATAATACATATATAATACAGATATAATTTTTTGTACTGATTATAAAATAAAAAAATAAAAACTGTCAAACATATAATTTGTATGATTTTTGAAAACAACTGTTTCAATAAGACAAATATTTTGATTTTATGACCCACAATGAGATGTGGTTGGTTCCTGCTCCACTACTAAGAAAATATAATATTAGTATGTTTTTTATACATTCAAAAAGAGCGATCATAAAAAGCCGATAAGCAAAAAATAAAATAAATATAACCGCTGATTATCCTCCCTTCCTCTCTCCAAATCACGTTCACCTTTCAGAAGTCCATCATTGATCCTGGATAAGATAAGGATCGGGTAATAAATGGAGGGGAAGCGATAATCTACAGATTTAAATAATCCACCCCAGTGTTCGGGCGACACTCGGAATGTGTAATTTTTCCGGACAACTTTTGAATTTTGATAGCTGAACCACTTTATGCTCTTAGATGAGAATTTGCACCACTCAAAAAGTTTGCGTGCGGAAGAAAAAAAATTCTAGGTGCGACTTGTTTTCGTTTCCTTTTCCTTACATATTTTGTTTTTATGTTACACGGTACTATTTCGTATTGTAGTTAGTGAAAATTGAAAGAACCTTTACACTTACAAAATTGCTAGTTTCATATTCAAAATATAAT